TTTTCCAGTCAAGAAAATAGTGAGGAGAGTTCGGGTGGTCTCTTGGACAAACCACCCCAAGGGAGAGTTCAGGTGGTCTCTTGGACAAATCACCCATTCAGTTTCCGCAATAGGGTCTGCACGCAAGGGAAGGCGCAAGGGAAAGCAGGGCTTTCGCACCGTGGACCGACCCGTGACGGGATCCTACGCGTGGGACCGTAACAAATTGGTATCAGAGCCAAATGTCATGGGCGATATGGAGCAGCTGTCTTCCAAGGTCCACGAACTGGAACACGAACTTGCAGAAACCAGCATGGAGGTTCGTGAAGTCAGGGAAGACGTCCGGGAGATGCGACGCCTACTGGAAGCATTCCTCTCCAACAAGAGTTCTGTGGGAATCGCCAACACAAACAGTCGTCGTCCGGACTGGGCAGAGTCATTCAGCGAACAACAGATCGCTGCCCCTACAGCCGCAGCTACTCCCAAGGACCAGCGCGCGGAGGATGAAACTGTAAAGTCTCCTCCTTTGGTCGGGGACAATGTCACGTACATTATGGTAGAACCTGCAGAAGGCGCTCCTAGAGTTATGGTTGCGGCACCACAGTATGGTAACTATGCAGAAAGCCAAGAAACAGGAGTGCACGAGAGCTGTAAGGTGGAAGGGCAGGATATAGAGGTGACACACTCTCAAGCTTATACTGATGGCATGGATTTTGTGTTCATAGACAACCCTATGTCTCGCAATATTGAGGAAAATATATATGGGGGAGGCCTAGAGGATATGCTAAAACGCATGGGTCCCTTCGGTAAGGCTGCTCTTGAGGTTCCTTTCTGCAAGGATACCCGGTGCGTTCCTGTGAACCACAACATAGCACACCGGGGCTGTGGTCCAGTACGCGATTTTTGTTGTGTGGATCTTCCACAAAACTACTTCAAACTATATGACCCAGGAGGTAGRGAACACTTCAATGTCCTTGCGGCTGGCCTGAGTGCAGCAGAGCGTGTAGTCACTATAAGTCAGGGCTACGCCTGGAGCGGGAAACAAAAGAAGGTGGCTGGGGTCTGCATCAAATAATCCAGCGTGATGCACTGAGAGACGGGGCAGTCCCTGTTGTTCATACTGTTGGTGGACTGAGAAATTGTGTGCAGCCGTTTGATCCATTCACAGAATCCCAAGCCATGTATCCAGAACACGAGCTTGAGGACAAGCTCGTAGTCCGGGAGGGGTGTAATGTTATGGTCACACCATCCGGC